CATTGATATTTGTTGTTGATATAATCAAATAGTGTTATATTTTAAAAAGCTCACTACGTATAAACTTCTAAAAACTAACAACATATAACATTTATTCTAATAGAATGTTCTACATATACTACACATTATTTTCATGTAATAAATTAACTTATTTATTTAAAAACCTATAACATAATTCTATTAGAATACAGATAACATATAACATTATTCTATTTGAATATTCTACATATACATATTATTTTTATTTAATAATGAAATTATTTAACAAAAAACCTATAAAATTATTCAATTAGATTATCAACATGATACATCATGCATTAGATTCAAATGAGATGACCCTAATATTCTATATATAACTTAAAATATCCGAGAACAATATTCTATCGTAATATTCTACACATAACTTTTAAAAAGAGGTCATATACAATATTATTATATTAGAATATTTTATATAAACACATTATTTACATGTAGTAAATCAACTTATTCAAATTGAAAACTTAGAACATTATTCTATGAGAATATTCTACATATAACTTGGAATATCTTAGAACATTTTTCTATAAGAGTATAAAAACAGCCAAATTTTAATTAAGAAATATTCTATTAAAATATTTTACATATAACTTAAAATATTCGATAACTTTATTCTATCATAACATTCTATATATAACTTTTGAAAAGAGGTCATATACAATATTATTATATTAGAATATTTTATATATACACATTATTTACATGTTGTAAATCAACTTATTTAATTGAAAACTTAAAAGATTATTCTATTAGAATATTCTACATCTAATTTAGAATATCCTAGAACATTATTCTAAAAGAGTATAAAAAAGTCTAATTTAATTAAGAAATATTTTATTAGAATATTCTACATATAACTTAAAATATCCGAGAACATTATTCTATCATAATATTCTATATAAAACTTTTGAAAAGAGGTCATTTACAATATTATTACATTAGAATATTCTATATATACACATTATTTACATGTACTAAATCAACTTATTCAATTGAAAACGTAGAACATTATTCTATTAGAATATTGTACATATAACTTATAATATCCTAGAACATTATTCTATAAGAGTATAAAAAAGCCTAATTTCAATAGAATGTTATACATATAAACTTTAAATATAAACTCATGTAATATGAGAAAGATGTTACTGACATTACATGACACAAAAAGAAAACATTACAAGTATTATTCTTGTAAATACATAACTGAATATCGACATTATACATCATATATTCTAAAATTACAACTATAATGTCATATCTACTTGTTCATATTATGTTGACGCCTCTTGATCATATGACGAGCTATCAGATGAGGTATCATGAAGTATGACTTTTTTTGCCTTTATCTATTTTTGATGATAGAAATTGTTCAACATTCTTTATTTTAGGATAAAAAACTCCTTTTTCCCTTGATTTAGTAGTTTCTTCATTTCAACTGTATCAAAACATAAACCATAATTTTATTAAAACAATAAAACTAGGATATAAACAAACAATTTATTATACCAGAATATTCTAACATTCTGACAATAATTAACAATATGAAAATTGTTTAATAAATAATTTACAATTACAAAATTTTATTTTATTTTCACATTTAATTTTACACAAATCTAATATGATCCAAACATTATTAACAATACACAAAGTAGAATTATTGAGATAAAATAACAAAAAAACATAATTGTCCACATGGTACTAACTCCAAATAAAGTTTATATTCCTTTAATTTTGATTGTAGTATCTAGTACAATTCAAACAAGAGATTTAATATTATATAAAATACAAAAGATCGGATAACCTAATCACCTAATCAGACCTTTATGTTAATAGACACCACTAACCTAAATCAACAATTTCATTAGCTTTCGATGTATATCAAACACTAATCCTAGCTACAGTAAACAATTTTAAAAATATTTAACGAAAACTAGAATAAAGAAGTTCATTTCTATCCCCAAGTATAGCGAATTTGGATCAAACACTAACCATAACTACAATATAAATTTCAGAAAAATAATTCATAAATTTGAATAAATATAATAATAACTTGCTGAAGCGTATTATAAAAGATGATTTAGAATCTACATTATCTAGAATCCAAATCTGAATCAGATATTATTGAACTAAAACATAAAGTGATAAATTTGATTATGTCAAGATAGAATAACAAATTCTCAAAAAATATTATAGTTTCGACTTATCAAAGTAAGCAGTAACATCTGGTTAATCAATAAAATAACACCTGAAATCAAATTTATAAAGTACACCTAACTTAACAAATCAGAATACGTAGAATATTAAGTTATCAAATACTATTTTACTTATATTTTTACTGGATCATCTAACTAATCAAACAAAGTAACATCTTAATCAAATTAAGAAGTACCATATGACTTATCAAACCAGAATACTCAGAATCAGGTTATCAAACAATATTTCACTAAATTTTTACTAGATAATCCAATTACTCAAACAAAATAACATCTAAAATCAATTTAGGAAGTCAGTTATGACTTATCAAATTAGAATAAGTAGAATATAGCTGCATCATTTTATAAATTCAATCAACAGTCCTCATTCCATTGCATCTCATTTTATAAATTCAATCAACAGTCCTCATTTCATATCATAAATTAATACTAGTATATGAATTAGCATTGACTTATCAAATTAGGAAGTAAAATTCTGATTAATTAATAAAATAACATCTTAAATCAAATTAGGAAGTAACATCTGATTTATCAAATTAGAATACCTAGAATATCAAGACATTAAACACCATTTTACTAAATTCTTTTTTACAAGATCATATAATTATTCCAACAAAGTAACATCTAAAACTAAATTAGAAATTAACATTTGACTTATAAAATCAGAATACCTAGAATATCAAGTTATCAAAAACTATTTTACTAAATGTTTTACCAAATCATGTAATTAATCAAACAAAATAACAGATTGAATCAAATTAGGAAGTAACATCTTACTTATAAATCAGAATATCTAGAATATCAAGTTATCAAACATTATTTTACTATTTTTTAATAGATGATCTAATTAATCAAATAAAATAACATTTAAAAGCAACATCTGACTTATCAAATTAGAATATGTAGAATATCAAGTTATCAAATAGAAATGTCCTTAATGTTTACTACATCATGTAATTAACCAAACAAAATAACATATAGAAATGAAATTGTACTAATTAGAATACTTAGAATACACATATATGATAACCTATTTCACATCATTTGTAATAGTAGATAATTAATCGATTTTGTGGAACTAGGATTTACGTGATTGTTATTGCTCATGTGTTGTGTTCTTACCGATATAAATATCAACTCCATATTGATTTATGACATATGAAACTTTGAGAATGACTAAACACGACAGTTAAATAACAATCACACTGTTATCACATGCGTTAGATCTTATATATTCTATCCTTCAGGAAATATAAGCTCAAGCCTACACTTCAAATTTTTTATGAAAAAAAATTTATATGTAATATTTTTAAAGATTTACATCATTGACACAAAATCAAAATCTAGAATACTGTTAGATTTCAAAAAATTGACATATTCCACTATTATATTATAGCAACTTTGGATTTAATTCAAACATAAAAGATTGAATTTCGAAAATCAAAATGGGTTGTAACTTACTGTCGAGTCTTGGCACACGATCATAATCAGAATCCTCCAAAATTTAGAGAAGCAAGAAAGTTCAAGTCCCCAAAACACAAGATAATTTGGTTTTAACAAATTTTTTTTTTGATATGAAGGTATAGCTGAAATACCTGTAATATCTTGACAAGGTTTGGTAATAATGTCCTCAAGATGATCTTATGGTGTAGATTTTGAATCACGTTGTGTTGATGTAGCCATTTTCGATGATAGAAGCCTTTGTATTTTATTTGAACATAAATAATGAAACGAATGATAGATTCCCACATTAAAAAACATAACTCATTTGATTGGTGAATAAAAATCAACATATATATGATTTAATCCTCAAAATAGATTAAAACAGTGAAGGAGAAGACACAAACTTAGCGAAATTAACTCTTTTTGAGAAACATTGGGTTAATTGGGAGAATGGATAAAAATGTGGATACGATCTAGGGTTTTTATTTGACCGACTAGGGTTTTCTGAATTAGAATATGTAGAACACGAATTATTCAGTAGGTTAATTACACAATTTGAAATCTAAAGGTTTGAATTAATACCTATTTTGCGAAGTGAAGTAGTGTATAATCATAATATGCTTCTGTAGAATGAGACATTTCCTTGATTGTTTCAATGTGTTTATCATGGTGAAGTGAAAAACAGATTAAAATCGAAAACAAATTGTTGAATTTAGAAAGAGATGAAAGATTTATGAATCAGTTTCTAGGGTTTTGAAGAATAAATCTGAATCGAGATTAAATTTGAGTTCATCTGTTAAGAGGGTTTTTTTTGGAGGAAGCAAGATGCAACATGAAGAGATATTGAATGATGGTGGATTATTTTGACGGATAGAAGGTATATTGTCAAAACTACCCCTCCATGCTCTTCCTCTAATCCTGAAGTTTGATCAAATTGCAAAATTGCCACCGCCCTTATTGCTTTAATTTGAGTTAATTCTACCCATAGATTATTATAGATTAGTGGTTCAGATTTGTCCCCACGTCTCACAAAATATCATTGTCTCACATGAACTCAACCCTATCTTATATATATATATATAAATAAACCATATTCCTTGAGAATATAGATTAGTGGGATGACGTAAAGGGCTTGTGAATAAGCAAGTATTTTTGTGGGATTTTGTATAATTTTAGCTGAATTTCGTTGATTTTTTTGCTTTTTTTCTGTTGGATCGGGTATATGTTGGAGGGTCGGATCGGATCTATAAAGGTATCTACGGTAGACGGTGTTATCCTGAGTTATTAGTTAAGAGACATGGAGTTATGACATCTGTATTCCATTATCTCGGTTCCCCCATTACGTTTCTAAATTCCAGTACGACCACTTTCTCTCTACTTGTAACCATCGACTATCCATATTTGCTCTTCATTTTTCTGGCTTGACGCTGATACTTGTTCTTCGGCTCCACGCTAAATCGACAGCTCCGGCAACAGTAAAATCGATGTATCCTTACGATTTCATTTGGTTCCATCGCCCCGGTAATAAGTTTCATAGCCCTTCTTCTACGCTGGAGCCAATGACCAGATATGTCGAAGTTATTGATGATGACGGTATGAATTTCTTCTTTTCTATATATCTTCTCCTATTTTCCTATACTACCTCTATCGCATGGCTAGCCTCTTTTCTCAATCTATGCTATCACACACCACCATCAATATCACTTTTTCCTCGTTCTTCTTTCTAGGGTTTCAGGTAGTCTTTTTGAGCCCAGAGCTAAAGGGATTTGCAAATTTTGAGTCCTTGAAGCTAAAATTTTCTACTGAAAGTAAGAGTATTGATCATTAGAGCTTCTTCGGGAATCAGCAAGATTCGTAATTCATCAATTTTATTTCGTATTTAACTTAAAAGTCTTCTGAATTTATGTGTTTCTCCTTTCTCTATTTTATTATTTCAGTGATGAAGAACAATGGATGAATTTCCTTAACGATGAGTCAGACCTTATTATTTCAGTAGATGTTTTTCTTCTCTTCTTTTTTTATCGCTATGATGTGAAGCATTTTGGGTGATGAATTCATATGGAAATTTTTTATTGAGAAAGACTTTGATGATGTTCATAACATCTTCGATAAATTGCCTCATAGAATTTTCTTTCATTGGAATGTACTTATTTGTTGTAATCTGATTTGTAAAGAGGAAATCCACATCTTTGTCCTGGAGAACTACATGCTCTGAAACTATTTATCTCAATGGCCCTCAGCAAGATCTACATATACTAGGTCCATATGATGATTCAGTTTCTAACAAGATCAGATATGATGGAATTCTCTATGGTGGCAAATAAATGAGGTACTAACCCTGCCCCCGATGCTATACTATAGTTTTTATGCGTTTTCTAGAAAATATATATATATATATATATATATATATATATATATATATATATATTGGAATCTCATTAATCATGTTTATGAAAGTAATGCTGATTTTAGAGGCTTTGCTTCTAATGGGTAATAATAGTCCCTTCATATTTTCAGATTGTGGACGTATAATCCACCTAAATGTAAGGGTTGAACATGTTCCATATAAGGATCTCATAACAAAATTTATTTTTGACAAAAATAACGCAAAGATGCAAACATTTGTCATTAATATTGAAGCCATCTATCCATAGCGACTTTGGAACCATCTTCATTTTTTATTTGCTTCCATAAGAAAATAAGAATGAACTTCTATGGAAATATTACTACATGTGTAAAGCCATATTTGAGTATTTATAATGTAACAAACACAATTTCATGTCCATATGATTTTGTTTAAAGGTGTGGCATGATATGAAAATCATTCAGGCTGTGGCCATGTATAGAAGTGGTCACCAAAAGGGCATCTCTATGATCACAAGCATATGATGATATAGGACTATCATACACTTTAAATGGAGCAGTTACTAATTTTTGTTACAACTAAAAGATAAGAAAAATAACAACATATACCCTTCCAACATTCTCCGTATCCTTCCATTCGGTTAGTTGTTGGGAAATCTTGGCAAAATAATGTCTAAAAACTTTCTTACAAATTCTAACCAATATCAACTAGATTACTAAAGGAAATTGGTGTCAAGATACTTGAACTTAAGGTCAAACAAATCACTAACAAGTGTGGTATGTTCCTCCGTTTTAATCAATCTTTTTTATTTTATTGAGGTTTTCATTGATGATTTAAAGCATTCAACAATGTACCACATTTTTGATAGATTGTTACTAAATTTACAATTTTCTTATTTTTCGTGATAGATTGTTACAAATTTTTGATCTTTTTACCATGGATAGATGGATTTGGCAAGCCTCTAGAAAGAACATTCCAGGTTTAAGAAATTTCTTACTTGACTTCTAGATCTATTTTTCTTAGGAAATTTCTAATCGGATATTGCGTTCTTCACATACAAAATGTTCATCAGGGATATAAAATTAAAAGTTTGGTGTGTTTTTTAAAGCATGAGTGTGGATTATTAATGACTTATTATCTGTGTCTTCTACTCCATTAATTATATATATATATATATATATATATATATATATATATATATATATATATATATTCATTTTATGGGTATAATTAAAATCTCCGGTGGATAACATCGCAACTGTACTCTTTGTGGGTGGAGGGTTTCTCTTAATTGCAGGAGAATATCATATTTGGGCTTATAGGGCAGAAGGTAAATAAAATTATGTAGATTCTTTTGATTATAAAATGATATCTGATATTTTTCAATGTGAGATTTTATTTCTTTTCATTCAATTTCCTTTGAAGGTTTTGGGTTGTAGTAATGTTTTAGCAGCTGTATTGTGTCACTAGATTAGGGAGATTGCTATCAGGGTTGATTTGGTCATTAAATTGCTAAGGATTTGGAGGCAAAGCTTGGAGGATATGAAGTATGGGTCAATTTTTCTTGCTAAAAATGTGAATGTAAATTATCATCATTGCCGGTTTATTTATTTTTCCAAAAATTCGTCTTTTCATTTTAACTACATGCTATGTTTTATGTTTTACGTTTGATTGTGTCATTGGTTCATATAGTACAAAAATTATATATATATATATATATATATATATATATATATATATATATAGTAGATTATAACTCGCGTTAAACGCGGGAAACACATAAAAAATATATAATGTTTACAGATATTACATAATAATTATTAAAAATAAAGTGATGGTAATTGGTATTATTGAAAATACGTAGAAGATACATTGAAATCTATAAATATTTATAATCGTTGAAGTACATCTTTGTACACAACATTTTTTGTTTTATTAGTTGAACGACATTCTTCAACACATATGAGTACCTTTAAAATCATAGATAATTACATTAGTGTAATTTGATGAAAGATTGATGGTTTTGTTTTATTAGTTGAACGACATTCTTCAACACATATGAGTACCTTTAAAATCATAGATAATTACATTAGTGTAATTTGATGAAAGATTGATGGGTAAAACATTAGGGACAATACATTTAGTTTTTTTTTTTTTTTTTTTTTTTTTTTGTTGAAGATAAATCGTCACTTAAATCTATTACTTTGTTTTAGTGTTAATGTTGCTTATAAAAGTTAAATATAAATATATAGGCATATTGGTAAGTTTTATTATTTTATATGAGGAAAGTAATAATTATAATGGGGCAACATTATCTAAAAACTAAATGTTTGAAATATTTTTGGAGGGAAAATCGGGATTATTAAAATAATTTATATAAGGAAAATACAAATTTAGATTTGGTGAAATTATGTATGAAATTATTGACGAATATTATTTTGGAGGGAATTGTATTTTGTAAGGTATAATAATATGACAAAATTCGAAATATTTATATTTATTGTGTAAATTTATAAATTTTATTGTTACTATATATAAAGATAAAACAAAATAGGTTAGTATGTTATACAAAATAAAAAAATTTAATCACTTTGTTTTAATGTTAATGATGCTTATAAAATCGATATATATATATATATATATATATATATATATATATATATATATATATATATAATAGAATTTCAAAAGTTTTTAAGACTAAAGTCTTAAAAACAAGGAGGTTAAATATGAACCCTTAGATTTAATTGGATTGTATGGATTATTATATAGTTGTGATCCATGTGAATAGATTTAAGCCAATAAAAAAGAAACATCCACACTATAAAATACAGGAGTCGTATGCCTGTTCTAAAAACAATACATTTTTGTCTCTCAACTCTTTTATTTCTACCACCTTATGTCTCTTGACCACTATATAGAAAAACCCTAAAAAAACCATTGCTTCAATCTACAACCACCACCTTTACCACCTTTCTCTATCACCTTTGCAGTCACCATTACGATCTTCACAACCTCTACCACACTTCGCCTCTAATACCGTCGGAAGAATACTCGCGAGCACTACCAGTAGCAAGATCGCCACCACCTTCTTTATATCCATAAACCACCATAAATCTTAAAACTTCCCTCAAAGAAGTTGTCCTATATGCCACCATTTCCATTCATTGCCACTCCTGCCTTCCCCGTCTTAGTTTGTTATGAAGAAAACAGATTGGTTTCTCAATTAGAGTTAGATCTTTGGAGATCTGCATCTTTTGTTACCTTCACTACCAACGTCAACTCCATCACTCACGATCACTAGTACACCGGCAAACATTGATCTAAACCATGATGTCATTAGAGTCCGTACTCTCTACGCCCTTCCTCACCACCACTGAACAGGACAATGTCAAGATCTTGCATATTTGTATTTTCAGATCTAGAAGTTTTTGCATGGCTAAGAACTTCAAGTTATATAAAGCTTTCAATTTTTTTCCAGATTTTGCAACCGATCTTTATGTAACGATTATTTGAATGGGAAAGTTTTATGTTATCTAAGTGTGTGTTTGCTTAACTATTTGTGTGTGATTCGTCTATGGTGCATGTGTGTGTTTTGTTTACTTTAATCAACACATAAAGCTACGTCTTTTACGAATACAAGGCATAAAGTATTACATATTTGTTCGTTAATATAATTTTGATGTTTATGTTATTATTTTAAATATTAGTATAATTTGGTTGTTAGTAAAAGCTTTATTTAAACCGTTGTTTTATCTGTTAATATATCTAAAAATATTTATTCATCACTGAATATGACATATAAAGAATAATATATAAAGATTTATTTATAATTAAAATAAAGTACATACATGAGAAAAACCATTATAAATAAAATAATTAGATACTCAATTCTATTACTGAAATAGCACCGTTTTTGAAAAGTAAATAAAAGAGTAAATTATGTTACGTAATTATTTTTGGAGTGTTATTTTTGCAATACTGCATTTGAATTTACATAATTTTCCTTCATTATTAGAATAGATTAGTAATAGGGAATATTACTCAGTAATAGGGAATAAATTCTCTTATATTTCCATCAAACGTTTCAGTACATCAATACATGAGCATGAGCTGTTATCTTTCTTTCCATGTGTGCTACCACCTAGCACACTTCACATTTTTTATTTTCGTTTTGCCCTTTGGTTTTTGTATAATGTTTTATCAAGTTTACAAGATTTTTATTTGATTTGATAATCAATTTAAATAATTAAAGAATGCATTATTATCATTCTTTAAAAGTGTTCATATAATGTATTTGTTTATAGTCAATGTATAATAAAAAGGTTTTAATTTATGTTAAGTAGGGATTATAGTTTAACTAATGTTGTTAATTTTTCATGTAGAAAATAACAATTATAGACTCTTAATATGTTCATACCTAGACATTAGAGTATATGAGCAGTTATGAGTCATCATAACATTACACAGTAAACAACAATAATAATAAGCTGATATATTCTTAAAAATCTCACATATGTAAAGATTATTTATGTTAACAATTTTTAAAAGGAAATTAAATATAGATATTATTCTTTTTTGATAATTTTATAATTAATCTTTATTAATTATTATTTTTTCTAACACAAAATTTAGATTCAACTCTTTGGTTTTAATCTTAGAATTTGGTATATCAAAATATCATTACCTTTTGCGTATAATTTTTTTAATTATAAAAATTTCATACTTTGTGTGTTGAAAATTATAATCAAAATGTTGTTATTTATATTGTCTATTATTCCAATTTTTTAGATAATAATAAAATCAAAAATTATGTTATTTTATTCATGATACATGATAATTATTTTAAACTTTAACATTTTTAGCCAATTAAACATAAACGTAAAATAATCTTATTTTTAATAACGTAAATTTGGTTTATTTCATTTTCAAATATATAACAACCTCAATGGGCACAAAAAATCGGTTTAAAAAAACATATTTAAAAAAAAAACATATCGTTAATTTTTCATATCAGATCATTTTTCGATTATTTTTTCAGTTTTTTTTTCACATCCCAACAACTAATCATATACTAATAGTTCAACAATAGACGACACCCAAGAGAAATATAATTAATTTTTCAAATCATATCATTTTTTCGATATTCATTTTCGGTTTTGTTTCTTACACATCCTACCAATTAATCATATACTGTCAGCACGAGCAATAGATGACACCCAAGAGACAACTATTCACCACCTAACGTATTGCATTTCTATTCAGCTACCTATAAATTGTTCAACGTAGAGAACTATTTAGCACTAAACAATATGTCAAAACGTCGAAAGTAATCATATGGAACCAAAAGTAAACCAATTGTCGTATGACAATTGTGCATCAAAAAAAGCTTTCAGGCACCGCTGCATCGCGCGGGTATCCCACTAGTGTATGTATATATATATATATATATATATATATATATATATATATATATATATATAGTTAAGTTTTATTATTTTATATGAGGAAAGTTATAATTATAAGGGGGAGACATTATCTAAAAATAAATGCTTCAAATATTTTTGGAGGGAAAATCGGGATCATTAAAAAAATTATATATGGAAAATACAAATTTAAATTGGGTTTGTAATTGTGGTTGAAATTAATGACGAATAAATTGGTAGGTTACGATTGAATTCAATTTTGGAAAATTTAAATTTGATAAAGGAAACACGTAAGTTATTAAATTAAATTTTTTATGGATATAAGAAAAATACAAATTTAAATTTGATAAAAGGACGCTTAAGAAATAAATGTTTGAAATACTTTTGAAGGGAAAAAATCGAGATCGTTAAAAAATTTTATATAAAGGAAATACAAATTTAAATTGGGTGAAATTATAGATGAAATTAATGACGATTAAATTGGTAGGTTACGATCGGAATCCGATTTTAGAAAATTTGAATTTGATAAAAGAAATGTGTAAGTCGTCAAAATATAAAATTTTAAACGCGGGGAAATATATAAAAAAATACATATAAAGTTATAAATAATTAACACAATAAAAAAATAAGATAAAGCAAAATTAAAAAATCTATCATAATAGATCAAAATCATTTTGGCACATGTCAATTTCTCATTCATTTTGTCAAATGACAATTTTTGGGATTTTTTAATTAATTATTTTTCACTTGTCATTATTCTATGTTTTTTAGTTATTTAAAAATGTTACTTAATTATATTGTTATATAAGCATAAACATTCTAATTAGACGTTTTTTCCATAATAAGATTACTTAATTTAAACCTATATTGACAACCAATCTACCATTTTTTCATTGCATTAAATATTAACAACTATTTCATTTATTCAACTAAAGTCATAGAGTATAACTTATGGAATGTTAAATGTTATATGAATTTTTATTTTACTATATCATCAACAAAAATTCTTTTCTAAATCATGATTGGTTTATTTTAAATTGATTATGAATATAAATGCTAGCTTTTATGTTTGTTCTTATTTATTTGGTGTTCGCAAAAACTTTGCATTAGACTTAGCACAACTTTGAATAATTTTGGTATATCATGTAATTTGGTATATATCTTTCAATTATATGAAATATCAAATAATGACATTTCATTACTATTGTAATAATTTGGCTTATATATTACATTTTTACTAATGTTAACGGTCTTTATTTTTTCTAATAACCATAACGCTTTTACTAATTGTACTTTTTACAAATCTCCTAATATCTTATAATTTTTTTTATCTTACTTTATAATTTTTCATAATTATGCTATTTTCAAGATTGACTGTCTTAAATACAAAATTTTGTTCACTGATTTCGACCAAAAAGGGTTTTCCATGACCGATATATGACATTTCAAGGACATGGACAGATTAGGGAAAAATGCTGAAATAAAAGCTTTGGCTTTTTAAAAAAAAAAATACACATACGCACATTGCTAGTAACTAAATATGTTAAAAACAAAATAGAAATTACAATGCACTTTGTATCCATTGAACACAGTTACAACAACTCAAAAGAAATTTAGAAATTGCAATTCAAAACATTATAGATTAAAATCAAAGTACATTGTTATCAACTAAATCTATTAAAAACCAAGAATTATGGGCAAATATGTCAAATTAATAGCAGTGTAATATTGATAATTAAAAACATTGAAGGGTAAATGGTAGTTTTCAATCATCAACTACCATGCAATCCAAACAATCTTAGAAAAATTTAATTACGTAAGAAACACATACATACATACAGTTAATCAAAAGTCACTATGCTTTTCTCATGAACATTTTATCAAACATGTAGAGTGCAACATCAAGTGCAAGGTTAAAAAGACAAAAATAAAATATTGAAAAACTAATACTAACATTTATAATCAAGATTATTCATGCATTCAAAGATCATAGTAAAATACAACACTAATGAGAATCAAAAAATCAAATAGAATTAATAAAAATTAAGAAGATCATATTAAAAAAGGAACGTGGATGACGAACGTGATGCTGCAAAGGGCGATGTTGTTCGAACGTGATACTGCAAAGGATTTGAAGAAAACATAGTACAAACAGCAGCACTTGATTTATACATAACTCTCAACAATGACTATGGAAATGATATCAAATTTTGAATTCTTTGATTCTTTGAAATTGAGCAACGATATCCCGTAATCTTGTAGATATGTTTCATATAATAGATGTGAATTGAAAGAATATATACGAAATGTGTCAGTTAAGAACGTGATTTAATTAGGAAGGAACGAAATTTACTTTCAAAAATTATGATGAGGTTTAAATGAGTGTAATATATTCCATTTATAAATGATATTATCATTAAATCAATTAGTCAAACTTTAAAATTTAGTCAATATTAATTTTATTTTATTTTATTTTTGGATGAGATCATCAAAATAATCAAAGGGTTGAAATTAATCAAGAAAACACAATGGATGGTCTTGATTGTTGAAGATGATGTCATAAGGTTTCTCTTTTATTATATATAAAGATTATATATATATATATATATATATATATATATATATATATATATAGGAATGGGTTCTTTGGAAAATAAGGAATTAGGGCATCAAGTGAGGACCAATTAGAATTTGACACATGTAATTAATTAATTAATTTATAAATAATGGTTTAAAGGGTATTAAAGTAAATCGATCGATTAGAGGCGTAAACCCTAGAACATTAGACTGGACGATTTTCGTTAAGAGGCGGGATCGGTTATGATTTTTGGGGGGATCGGTTGTGTGTTACATTTGTAGTCGTCGATTGAGGTCAATAGGCGGCAAATACGAGAAGATATACGCGCCGATTTTATGATCTGATAGAGAATTGAGCGGGATCGGTTATGATTTTGGGGGGATCGGTTGTGTGTTACATGTGTAATCGTCGATTGAGGTCAATAGGCAGCAAATACCAAAAGATATACCCGCCCAATTTATGATCTGATAGAGAATTGAGCGGGATCGGTTATGATTTTGGGGGGATTGGTTATTTCTCCTTCTATCCTTCTCCGGACGACCCCCACGACACTGTATCTCCCCATCCCGATGTTTGCACAGTTGTTTCGGCATTGATGATCTATCAATAGCTTCTTAAAGGTATTTTATTTATCTACTCTCAATCAATTCTCACTTCTTTGCTGTTAGCCGATTCTCAGTTCTTAATCGATAATTTACCATCATCAAAAGTGGTCAATTTGTTCAAGTTGAATTTTGTAAATCGATAACTTAATTGAGTGTCAATTCTTTATCAAATTTGTTTTACAAAAGTAAGATTGTGAAGTGGAAACTATAATACGATGCCCTATTTCTTATCCAATTTGGCATTTATGGGAATCCCAATTTCTAGATGGTAAGATAAATAGTTATGTTAGGATGGAGCTTATTAGAGATTAAACAAAAGCAAATATTTTGTTCAAGCTGAAGAAACCAACTAACAATTTGGATCAGAAAGATGTCATGAAGTTAAGCATTTTATGAATGATTGAAGTTTGATTCTTTGCTAACTTTTGTTTTTAATAATAATATCTTCTTAATGTTGATTTATGGAGTTTGATGTGCACGTTTTTACCTGATTATATTGTTAATTAGGAAGGAGACAAATTGTTAATTGGTTTCTTGATTAGAATATGTACCAGATAGTGATATGTTAGGCTTGTATGCCTTATCTGTCAAGCAGTTCTTGATAAATTTTTCATCAAAATTTATAAATAGAACTTATTGTATCATTATGACGTTAAGGTGAAATTTATTGTTTTTATATTGTTTTTTGGATACACATCTGCAACTAGTATGCTATCTGATTTTTTTAGTTTGTGTATTTTGTGAAACTTGTCGTTTGTCATTCTTAGATTATGTAATTTAGTAAATTTTCTTAGGCTTTAATTAACGGTTGTTTAAATATTGTAAATCTTCTTAGATTATGATATTTATTATCGATGGATAGTGGACAGTCTTTGATATCTACGCAGAGGGATGCTACTGTCAAAGAATTTGATGGTATGTCTTTAGTAATTGGTCATTTGAGTTCATATGATTAACAAAATGTTGGATGTGTGCACATCATTATATATAAATTGTCCATTTGTAAATAACAAATTGATGAATATACTATAGTAAACTCTAGTATTTTCATGTTTTCGTTGAATTATTCTTATAAATTGATTGATGTAGGTGAAGAAGATCAATTGTGTGATTATAATCACATCAGCACACCCAAACCTTCAGGAAAAAGTGAAAAATGTTCTGGAATTGAATTTTCTCCTTCAGATAGTTTCTTTAGCCCAGGAGTATTAAAGGAAATAGATGAAATCATATACAGAAGTACCAAAAAGAAACTCCAATTCGTGGATGAAAATTCTACAAGAACAGGAATTGATATTTGCAGTTCAGCTTCTACTTTTTTGTTCTCCGTATATGAATAGCATAGTTTCAATTAGAAACAAGATTACTGATATGGAAATTGATATTTGCAAGTCAATATTATGTTCAAATAGAAATCTTCGGTAATGCAAATGTTATAATATTATCAGAATTTTTATTTTAATATTAACTGATATTTTTCTTTAATAATTTTACAGGGAAACCATATGGGAGTTAAAAGATGCACAACTTATGTTTGTTGAAGATTCATATTGTTTTGAAGCAAACAAGCCTATTAGTTGTAAATGTTATTGATTGTTGGTCATCTTTCCTTAACATTATTTACACACCAAACTCAATTATGGCACCATCCAGAGTATTCTTCCATACAAAAATATTGGTTAGTTAAAATATTATTTTTATTTAAAATTAATATATACTAACTTTTTCATATATCCAATCATAATACAGACAAATTATTTTCTTGATGAAACGATATTAGAGCTATACAGATTTGATAAGTTTAGATCGATAGTTCAAGAATACAATTTAAGGTTCTATGACAAATATCCATTTACTAACATGGATCTGGTAAATATCATGTTTCATTATATATAAAGCTAATAACATTTGATACATTATATATTTTTTATGTTTATACGTGCAAGTTTTTTTCCTATTGTTAATGGGCCAAAATATTATTTAATATGTTTTGATTTGAGGAAACCTGCTTGGATGATCATAGACCATATTTATAATAATGGAGATGTGGAAACAACCTATGGAAATATACCTAGAATACTGGTAGTGTATGAAGTACTTTAATTTATTATCTTTTTATAATAGTAAGTTATTGAATTATATATAATATATAAATAATTTAATAATAAAAATTATTTATTTGTTGTATGCAGCATTACTTCTTCTGCCTCTATTTATTTTATGTTGGTCATGAAAAAGAAAGTGATTTGAAAAATTTAGCATATATGGTTGTTAATTTCAATTGGAAAAAGCATGAGAGAAACTATGATTGTTGTTTGTATCTGATGCGGCATATGGAGACATTCATTGGACATTCAGACTATTGTTGGGATTGCGAGCTTGATCATAATCCAAGTACATTGATAACTTCATTGAAGATTTTGAGGATGAAGTACATGGCGAAGCTTATGTTATCGGAGCACAATATTCATAAGGAGATGCTTATTTCTGAAGCAAAATTGTTTCAGAAGGAAAATAACTTAAATACAGCTTGATATGTAAAGTTATGATGAATGTTGTTATTATGTTCTTGATTTTATTGTTTATTTGTTTTTTTTTTGTTGAAAGAGGATGTTGATTTCATTGTTTGAGTTTAGTATTTTTGTTGTTAGAATTTTTTCATATCCAAGTGAAAGTAATTTACTTTATCATCACTATGCTAAATATCATTGAAATAATTTTTTTGATATAGTTTTCCTTTCTTGGTTTTGTTGATAGGTTCTTTTTTTTCCTGTTTTCGATGTGCATTTATTGTCAAAGTGTTTGATGTAGAGGGGCTATAACTGTAAGTGAAAGTCCAGTTATGAAAGTAAATTAATTCCAAACTTAAATACAGGGACCATCCTGTAATAAGACAAAAGTTAGAAAGTATAGTAACATGGAAATTAAAATAAGATATTTGAACTGATTTTATGTATGTAAGCTTTACATATTAAATAGACATTATTTATATAATATTTTAAACATATACATTTAAGATGTACTTTTGAAAGATAAATTATTATGAACACAATCAATAAGCAAGCAAAAACTTATCAAATAAAATTTAATTATTACATTCAATAAATTGAAATATTCCACAATACAAAGTATAATTCAAAAACTAGTTATACGTATTAAAATCTTTTCTCATAAGGACAATTTTTTTTGTCATGAAACATAACATTTGGCACAAATTACTGTACTTTTCAAAAAAACAATTCACCTGTTAACTTAAGAATATCGTCTTCTGTATTCAAAGAGCATGATTCATAAATTTTGCTAATAGAATCTTCATGTACGTAAGTTGAAGTTAATTCTCCAATGTTTACAGACATCGTTCAATAATCTCTGAAGAATTTGTAATTGGTGAACCAGAAATCAGTAACAATTGAAGTAATTGAAAGATCTGAATAAGAATATCTATTGATTTTTTGGATTTCAAAATCCCTGATGTCTAAATTGAAGTTGTTGCATGTGGTTTTTTGTAGGTTGTGGAATTTGTTTCAATGGTAGGATTACTTTAAACATTTAAAGATGTTGGAAGCTGTTTTCGAGTGACCAGAGGTGTTGTCTTTGTAGGTGTCAAAACTTGTCTTTGTAAGTGGTGTAAGTGTTTTATTTTGTGTGGTGATGTCATGCACATCAACAATTATAAAATGATTATTTTTGGTGTTACACCCTTTGAGCATTAGTATTGTCATCATTTCTTGTGTTCTTTGTGATTGGTGTTCAATGGTGGCAATAACTTTTAAGGATCAAACAATAATTAATGTTAAATATATACTTTAATGACCAAAATGTAAATATTACAATTAAAAGGTACACAGATGAAAAATATATATATTGTAATTAACTATTGCTAATTTTTGGAACTTCAATGTTATATATCATTAATTTATAAAAGTACAATGTATACCTTATCTTCTATCTCTTGATTTGACAAGTAGCAGATGAAAATGTTGACTGAAAGCTTTAATATCCAATATGCTGGATAGGGACTTCCTTTCAATACAATAAAATCAATGTATTCTGGATGGATAAGCTTTGTTTCACAGAATTCACATCAGAATTGTAATTGGAATTCAAATTGGATTCCAATATTCTGATTGTAATTACTTTTGTTGCCAACATAAACAGTTTTCAGGAGAACAATTGAGCTGTCTATGTAACCAATGTAGTATTTGTTCGTCACGCCTTCAACTTGTGCCCAACATACTCAAAATCACTTTCTTGTATCCTACCCTGAATTTGAAATTCCATTACAATCATCATCCTTTTTTTTATATGCTCTATGTATGCATTCTCATCAATTTGATTTCTAATATACAAATAAATTTACACGTGAATGCAAAAAAAAATATAAAAACCATTTTTTCCATTTAAAAAAATAGAATATTATTGTAATTAACAAAAGATAAGCTTCATGTATCTATGGGTTTACAAAAGAAAGGCTGTAAAATTCTTAGCAATCCTTCGTTCATCTTGATATGCATAATCTGTCTAATTAAGAAATTCTTAACCAGAAAATAAGCAACAATCAATTGGAATTTGTGGGGATGGGGTTGGGCAAAATACAATCACGTGAACAAATCAAACATAGAAATCAGAAACGAAATTCAAATTAATGAAATTGAAGAAACCAAATTTAGATGATGCGTGTGTGAGGCTGTACGACACTGGGAGAAACGCCGATTGGGAATATCAGGCAATGCCGATTGTGATTTTGTGATTTTTGCATATCGATTCGTAGATTTGAGTATAATTCTCTAATTTTTTGCAGATATCGTTCAAATATATCTCAACATTTAATCGAAATATCTATTCAAAATTTGAATTTGAAAATCGGTGAAGTAGAAATCATTTTGAATTTCAAATTCAAAACTCAAAATTGAAATTTGTTCAGTTTTGAATCGATTACGAGTTCGAATTTCGAAAGTGTAACCGATTTTCCAAACGAAATGTTTACTAAAATACCCTTTTGAAGACGTGTTGCGTAATATTCATACATATGTGCGTTGTCAAGTTTTGATTCGCTCTTTTCTTTTTTTAGGGTTTTCCTTATTTTCCAAATAACTCAACCCTATATATATATATATATATATATATATATATATATATATATATATATATATATATATATATATATATATATATATATATAAGATCCGTTGAGAACTCATAGTTTTCCGAGAACCCGAGAACTAAATGTGGAGCGTTAGATCAAAGTAAGCTCATTAAGGGCTTGATCGTCATCTTAACAATCTCAGTTAATGTTCAATTTTTTGTGTTATTGGAAATATTAATAAAAAGATCTTAAAATTAATATAATAAATCAATTTTTCATTGTTTTTTAAAAATAAAATTTTTTGATTTTTTAAAAAAACGCAGATTTTTTTCTGGAAAACTTTAATTTTAAAAAAATGAAAAAAAATATTTTATTTAAAAAACTGCAATTTTTAAAAAACATTAAATTTTGAAAAATCAATATTTTTTTTAAAAAACTAGAATATTTATAAAAAAAAACTATAATTTTTTTAACGGAAAAAATAAACATTTTAAGTGCATATATGCATATTTTTCAAGTACATATATGCATCTTGCTTAAACTATAATATTCATAAGTAATCATATAAAAAATCTATTTTTATTTAATAATCTATAAACACAATATTACATGTACTTTGTCCGATACAAAATAAAATATAAAAAAAAAAACAAAAAATACTACAAAATTTCAAAGCGTTTTCATGTCTTCGTGTCAAGTTTTCCATATTTTATTTAATTAATCACTTTTCACCCCTTCAATATTTTCCGCAAAATTTTCCAAATCTACAAAAAATTAAAAAAAAATTGATTAATGCAAGAAAACTCACAAAAATACATGTGTGCATATAGACGTAATTCATATGTGATTCGCTTGTAGTTTATATGTAAATCACATGTAATTCATATGAGTTTTACTTGTGATTTACATGTGATTCATATATGAATTACATGTTAATCACATGTAATTCATATGTGATTCACTTGTGGTTTACATGTGAGTTACATGTGAATCACATGTAATTCATATGTGAATCACTTGTGATTTACATGTGATGTATATGTAAATTACATATGAATCACATGTAACTCATATGTGATTCACTTGTGATTTACATATGATTTACATGTAAATTACATGTGATTTATATGTGAATCACATGTAATTCATATGTGAATTACTTGTGATTTATATGTAAATTACATATGAATCACATGTAACTCATATGTGATTCACTTGTAATTTACATGTGAATTACATGTGATTTACATGTGAATCACATGTAATTCATATGTGAATCACTAGTGATTTACTTGTGAATTACATGTGATTTATATGTAAATTACATATGAATCACATGTAACTCCTATGTGATTCACTTGTGATTTAAATGTGAATTACATGTGATTTACATGTGAATTACATGTGATTTACATGTAAATTACTTGTGATTTACTTGTTAATTACATATGATTTACTTGTGATTTACATATGAATCATTTGTAATTCATATGTGATTCACTTGTGATTTATTGCTAAAATGAAACAAATTAAAATAAACTATATGGTTAGAAAAAAAAAATAATTAAAATGATTTACATGTGAATTATATGTGATTCATATGTAAATCACAAATGATTCACATGTGTCACAAATGATTCACATGTGAACCAAGTGATTCACATGTAAATTACAAGTGATTCACATGTAAATCACAAGTGATTCATGAAGCTCAATATAGTAGCAATTACCACAAATCAGATATGGTTAATTAGCTAATAGATAAAATATAACTTTATGGACAAATAAGCAACAATTGTTATCATATTCCTGTATAAGTTGATCAACATTTTATAGGTAATATTAGTATGTAAATGTTACTATTATGCTTTACTAAAAAGTGATGGGGATAATATTAATATGTAAATGTTGTTCATTTTTGTAGTTATTAAAATTTTTTGACAATTTAAAATTTAAATATTTACCTATAGAGAAGATACACAACTGAATAAAGCTTCACATTGATCAAGAAGAGCTATTTCTTGTGCTACTATAGTCGCAAGTTCATAAACCACCCAATTTGTCCCTCCAACTATAGAAAAGCAATTTATTTACAACATCATTCACTTTTATAAACTTCAAATGAATAAGCATTAAAAGATATAAAACTCACTCTTGATAGTGTATTTGTAAGGATGATCCAGTTGACTACATTACTTGAATAATACCATAACATTGGATAATATTCGCTGCTAGATTTCATTGTACCTTTATATGAGCAAGCTACTATAATCTTTGAGTTTTTATCTAATTTGGATGGAACATCTGTTCCACACAGACATTGTGTCTGATTAAATACTTAATACATGACTGAATGGGGTTGAAAATTGAAATGACATACCTTGCAAAAATTCAGGATTTTCTTTAGTTCCAACAAAGATACCAAAAAATGCAAATACAACTCGTCTTGCAATGTCCCATGTTGCCCACTCCTTTATAAGCCTATATATTTGCACATTGATAGCACTTGGTTGATGACCCTGCATCCATCAATAATATTACAATTCCAAACTTGAGTAATTCAATTCAACCTACAATAACATTTATATCTAATCAAAATAGAAATATAAAGTAAGTGTGTGTGTGGGTATGTGTGTGTGTGTGACCTCTTTAAACTCGGCTATGGGTCTAACATCAAGAGAGAGCAAGTATCTTTTTAATGATTTATCTAGGGATTGTATCTTTTTCCCCATTAGGTCCTATAATACTTTTAATTGATCCATTGTTTCATTTCATAGGAGGAAGTAATACAAAACATGGCAGTTGAAGCTCTTGCAGAACTTGTATACCATTGTGTTCTATGTAAACCGGGTCCCAATGACAAATTAATCAAAAATCACCAATGATTGTGGATCCATTTTAGGTAAAAATTGCATGAAACATCATCATTCCCGTATAAGTATCAAGTTAGTAAACAAACCGTTGCTGTAACATCATGTTTCTGTCGGTAAACATCAACAGATGACAGATTCATAGCATCTGGAGAGGCCATAACTGATGGGTTTGGCCTCATCATAGGGTTATTCATATATGGTGGACCACCCATAGCTTATGCTTGACTATACATGTTATGTGATGCTGAATTCATCTCCTAAAAGAGCACAAATTACATTAGGAATCATATAGCCCAGTTTTTCAACAAGATTAAATTCGTAATGAAAACAGGACTAAACCAAAGTAAAGATAGGAGAAGATGTGAAGCTCAGAAATAAAAAAAAATACAATACTTTACAGGCTGCATTCTTCTTATTTATTTATTTTATTGACAACACTAACAGAGAAGCATCGCACATCTTACTAACATTGAACATGCCTCATTTATCTACGAAAAGTGACCTTCAGATTCATTTCCTCCAATATACCTGCAACAAAAGTAATCAATTAATTGTACTCAGACTTTATAAATAACAAAAATATAAAAATAAATAAATGATGATGCGAATTTTTAGAACATATACTGTACCAGAACATTTTCCTTGCCAAGCTGCATCCTTTTCTTTCTCATTTTTCATTTGCTCTAAAACCCTATTTCCTAATCCTGAACTTGGAAGCTCTGTTCTCCAACCATCCCTTGAAGATTTGGCAAAAGATTGTAATTTATCAACAACCTGAACAGTCGAGAACAATAGTTTCACTTTCTAATTCTAATATAATACATTTAACACAATATTGTATAATTTGTATGTCAAACCTAGTACTTCTAGCCAAATGAAAAATTAGTATCGATTCTAAAGCTTTTTATAATACAAGCTACATGAAACTTTAAGAAATCACTCAAAAACTGCAAGCTTTAAATCGATGTCATATGTTACCTATTCTGTAGTAAATGAATGACTTTACTAAATATATGACATAATATACATCGTACCTTCTGTTTCTCGGCATCAATATAGCTCTTCAAACCAGGCACCAACCTGTTTTCGGAGCAAAAGTCATCAAATATGTGAATAAACCTCCAAATCCAGGACTGTCTCAGGGAGGTAGTTCAGGGCCTCCAATCAGTGAAGGCCTAACGTTTCTTTGTAGATGATCCGTGTAGGTTCCGATGAACTAGACGATGCGGTTCTTCTTCTCATGATATCACACTCCAACGATCGATTCTACTCCGATGAAGATTTTAGGATTTGAGATCCGACGATTGAGAAGGTCATTGGTACCGGATGTCATCGATTTGTCGATCCTTATCACACAGTAGGTCTGTTGTTTCTTCAATTCGTCGTCAATGATCTGGATGGTCGGAGGTGTGATGAAAGGTAAAGAGAGAGACGGGATGAAGATAGGGAGATCGGGGCAGAGACTTGACGTGATTAAATTTGGTAAGAGTGTATCAGTTACATAATCCCTAAAATGTCCCTGATTAATTTCAATATGATGTCCCAAGCCTTTTTTTTATTTTCAGGTATTTATAAAAATGTCACAAAACATCCTAACATTTTTTTTATTTTGATCTAGCGGTCCTTGTTTGGTTCTCGAAAAACTATAGGTTCTCAAATGATCATTATTTTTTTTTTCTCTCTCTCTCTCTCTC